ACCTAAGAAACCAGAACCACCACCACCAAGAGAACCAAAACCCCCAAACCCCTCCACCCCGACTCCGAACTTCCCCACAGACTGCAGACACACACACACAACAAAGCCCCAAATCTTATGCATGCATGCGGAGAAGAGAGCCCCAAATATACGCATACAATCCATGCATGCATGCATGCAGAGACAGAAAACAGCAACAAACAAACACCCAACAGACACCAACACCACACCCCAACCACCACAAACAGAAACACACAAACACACACAAACCATGCATGCATGCATGCATGCATGCGTCAGACACACACACAAACAATGCATGCATGCATGCATGCATGCGTCAGTGCATGCATGCATGCATGCATGCATGCAGAGGGATGAGTATGATGACGTACTGCGAGCTCTAAGAGAGAAGCAAAAGGGGAGGGCCCCGCACAGAGAGGGCCCCCAGGAAGAGCGTCGCCACCCCTGAACAAAACACAAAGCCCCAAAACGCATGCATGCATGCATGCATGCATGCACAGTAGCAGCAGCAGCGGCAGCAGCAGCAAAGGATGCAGCAGCAGCAGCAGCAGTAGCAGCAGGTGATGGCTTACTCTGTTGCTAGGCCTTCCATTGGGAAGCCTTGTGGTGCATCTGCAACGCCTTGCAGCTTCTGCTGCTGCTGCTGCTGCTGCTGGCGTTGCTGCTGCTGCTGCTGCTGCGCGTCTCTCTCTCGACCTGCTGGGAGTTCCTTCGTGTCGCTGTTCCCTGGTGTTGCTGCTGATGCTTGCTGCTGCTGCAGCCGTCCAACAAGTACTGGTGCAGCAGCAGCAGCAGCCTGCTGCTGCTGCTGCTGCTGTCTATTGGGTGCCATCAATGACCCTGCAGCAGCAGCAGCAGCAGCAGCTTCTGCAGCACCGGGTGCAGCAGCTGCTGCACCGTTTGGCAGTGCTGCAGCCGCGGGTGTTCCCGCTGCTGCAGCAGCAGCAGCAGCAGCAGCTGCTGCTGCTGCTGCTGCTGCATCGTCTATCTTCGGCAGCTGTAAACCTAAACTCATGCTGCTGCTGTCTCCCCGCAGGTAGGCATCAAGAAAGGAACCGATAGAGCCGTCTAGGTATTCTGTGCCCCCAAACAGCTGCCCCATACCACAAGGGTTTGCTGCTGCTGCTGCTGCTGCTGCTGCTGCTGCTGCTGCTGGATCAAGACCCGGCATACCAGCTGCTGCTGCTGCTGCTGCAGCAGCAGCAGCCTGAGCTGCTGCAACAGATGGAGGTTTCGTCGGTATCCCTCCTGCTGCAGTTCCTGCTGCTCCTGCTGCCGCCGCAGCAGCAGCAGCAGCTGCTGCTGCTGCAGTTGTGGGCGCAGCACCTGCTGCTGCTGCTGCTGCTGCTGCTGCTGCTGGGGTCAGAGGCTTGCGGTGTCGCTTCGCTGACCCCACACCCTCCGGAGAGAATTTGCTGCTGACCGCCCGCCGCCGCCGCAGCTGGGATCGAGTCGATCCCCGTCTCCCCTCGCTCCCGGGCAGCCACGATCCCGCTCCCTCATCATCATCTTCTCTGCCTTCATCTGCTGCTGCTGCTGCTGCTGCTGCTGCTGCTGCTGCTGCTGCGTCGGTGCCTTCGCCTGCTGCTGCTCCGCCGACGCCCCCAGCTGTCCCGCAACCAGCTGCACCGCCTGCTGCACCAGGAGCGCCAACTCCTGCTGCTGCTGCTGCTGCTGCTGCTGCTGCTGCTGCATCTGCTGCAGCCCCAGCAGCATCAGCACCAATACGCGGGCCGTCCTAAAAGCAGCAAAACAAACAATCATTAAACAAACTACTGTTGCTGCTGTTGCTGCTGTTGCTGTTGCTGCTGCTGCTGCTTTAGCAGCAGCAGCAGCAGCAAGATGCACCGCCGCAGCAAACAGCAACAAAGCCACCGCCGCCGCACCACCACCAGCACAACCACAACCACCACCACCACCACCACCACCACCAGCAACACCACCAACAGCAACAGCAACAGCAGCAGCAGCAGCAGCAGCAGCAGCAGCAGCAGCAGCAGCTCACCACCGTTCTGGGTGTTTCTTGTTTCGTAGCAAACTCTGCGGGCCCCAGACCCCTTGCTGCTGGAGCTCGTCTGAGGCTTCGATCCCGCAGCCCGAGCTGCTGCTCCTGCTGCTGACGACACTCTGCAGCAAACACACGCATGCAGCAGCAGCAGCAGCAGCAGCAGCAGCAGATGAAAATATTGTTAGTGCAGCAGCAGCAGCAAAGGCAACAGCAAATAGAGCAGCAGCAACACCGAACACAGCAACAGCAGCTGCATCAAGTACAAGAGCAGCAGCAGCAAATACAGCAGCAGCAGCAGCAGCAAATACAGCAGCAGCAGCAACAACAAAAACAGCAGCAGCAGCAGCAGCAGCAGCAGCAGCAGCAGCAGCAGCAGCACGTGCCTGTGGCGAGTCTGTATGCCTGATAGAATCCCAATTTGTTAACAGAAAATTTTCTTTCAACTCGCCGCTTCGTCTGGGGGTCATACCTATACACAGCAGCAGCAGCAGCAGCAGCAGCAGCAGCAGCAGCAGATGCAGCAGCAGCAGCAGCAGATGCAGCAGCANAGCAGCAGCAGCAGCAGCAGCAGCAGCAGCAGCAGCAGATGCAGCAGCAGCAGCAGCAGATGCAGCAGCAAAGGGAGCAGCAAGGGGAGCAGCAGAAGCAGCAGGAGTTGCAGCAAGAGGTGCAGCAGCATATCCAACAGCAGCAGCACCACCACCAGATAGAAGCAGCAGCAAAGGCAACAGCAGCAGCAACAGCAGCAGCAGCAACAGAAGCAAACACAACAGCAACAACGACAGCAGCAGCAGAAACAGAAACAAATACAGCAGCAGCAACATCACGAGAAAATACAACAGCAACAACAGCAACAGCAGCAGCAGCACCAACAGCAGCAGTAACATCAACAGCAGCAACACCAACAGCAGCAGCAGCAGCAGCAGCAGCAGCAGCAGATACATACCAGCTGGCTCTCCATGTTTTATTAACTTTATCGAAGCGGACGCCAACAACCTTGGGGAGAGCTGTGCGCTGCTGCTGCTGCTCTAGGTCTTGCTGCTGCTGCTGATCCAGCTGCTGCTGCTGCGGGGTTGGGGGCAGCAGCTGCTGCTGCGGCAGCAGCAAACCCTTTACACCCGCTCCATAGTCTTGCTGCAGCAGCTGCTGCTGATGCTGCTTCAGCTGCTGCTGCAGCAGCAACTGCTGCTGCAGCAGCAAAGCAGAAGATACATCTACACCACCAGCAACGTGGTACATAGACACCATGTCGTGCTGCTGCTGTTCCAGCTGCTGCAGCTGCAGCTGCTGCAGCTGCTGCTGTTCAAGTTGCTGCTGCAGCTGCTGCTGCTGCAGTTGCTGCTGCTGCAGCTGGTGCTCTAGGGGCAGCTGCTCAGCAGCCCCCGCAACATCGTGGAGGGTGGCGGGGTGCTGCAGCTGCGGTTGTAGCTGCTGCTGCTGCTGCAGCTGCTGCTGCTGCAGTTGCTGCTGCTCCAGTTGCTGCTGCAGCTGTTGCTGCTGCAGTTGCTGCTGCTGCAGCTGCTCGTCCTTGATTGGGTTTGCTGCTGCGAATGCAGCAGCCTGTACAGATGGATCAGCAGCAGCAGCAGCAGCAGCAGGAGTCGGAGTTGTTGCTGCTGCTGCTGCTGGGGAGGGCTCGGGTGTACATACACCGTCGAGCTGCAGCTGCATGGGGTCTGCTGCTGCTGCAGCAGCAGCAGCAGCAGCAGCAGTATCTTGCTGCTGCTCCTCTGCTGTGCGGTAGAGAGAAGTGTAGGGGGCGCCCTGGCCGTTGCTGTCGCTGCTTGGTGTTCGGCTAGCTGCTGCTGCTGCTGCTGCTGCTGCTTCTGGAGCCAAGGGCTTTTGCTGCTGCTGCTGCTGCTGCTGCAGCAGCAGTGTTAGTTGTTGCTGCATCGTGCTGCACCCACACACCACGCAGCAAGAAGACAATCAACTGGGGGGGCTGTCAGAGCCGCAGCAGCAGTATATGCAATAGTGCAGGGAGGTGTACGTACACCGCAGCAGCAGCAGCAGCAGGTGCTGCTGCTGCTGCTGCTGCTGCTGCTGATAGAAGGAGACGGATGCAGTATAAAGAAGAGAAGATGCGTTATATGCAACAGAAGCAGAAGTGGAGGGGGAAAGCTTACTTTGGTGCTGCTGCAGCAAAGATCCTATGCAGCAGCAGCTGCTGCTGCTGCTGCTGCTGCTGCTGCTGCGTCTCTCTCGGCGTTCGTTGCGTTAGGAAGAGGCATCCAGCCAAAAGAGAAGCAAAGAAGTGAGAAAACAATGCAGGGGTGAGCAAGAGTTGCTGCTGCTGCTGCTGCTGCTGCTGCTGCTGCTG